GTTATGTTCTAGAGTCCCTTCCCTCAAACTAGTCAACACATTAAGGATTTTAATGAGTCTCAATCAGATCATTGGAGCAACAACCCTTTTTAAATAATGTGTCCATGACAATATCTTGACGGTTCCAAATGCACAGACACTCCAATAATTAGTAAGTACTTAACGCAGATCATGCTAATGATATAACTTTATAGTACAAGTTTCTTTGGAGAAGTAACAGATTGTTTTGAACCATCTATCACTGCATTTACTATAAATGCGCATAAATTCACTCTTTATTATAAAAGCCTTTTATACATATTATATTATTATTATTATTTATTGAGTTCCACATTTAATTTAAAAATTCATTTAGAATGTATTCATTATTTTTTCAGGCAAAATCACATAAGATCAATTGCTATAATAGATCAATTGCTATAATAGTTTTTCAGGAGTCCCTGAATGTTAACTCCTGAAAAACGTCTACTGAAAATAGTTGCTTGGCCGGCACATATGCTAATGTGTTCCTTGTACATAAAAGATAGTATAGAATGGTAATGGGTTGTTCCAGCACTATAGAAATGAGTTGACACAAGACCAGAGGAGCACAAAAGGCTACGGCTGGCCATTATAAGAGAAAAAGCCTATTTAAACGGGTTTCATTCTTTATCTCTTGCTCTTTTTTTTCTTTTTCTTTTTTGCTGCGGTTGGCATAAATATTTGACTGTTTCCTCAATTTTAGAAAGTCAGTGAATTGGACAAAGTCATTTGGAATTTCACTCAGGCTTACAGGGGGAATGGACTCTGAGTCAGAGGCCTAATTCTTAACACACAGAGAGTGACTAACTCGGCAAAGATGCTGAGAGACTGGGGTCTGGAGTAGGTCATGTGAGATTAATACATGTGTGTGAAATAAAATCAGGGTGGGAAAGAAGATTCATCTTCTGAATGATGCTGATCTTTTTTTATTATCTAAGACTTGAACTGATGCCATCAGACCATATTAACACCTCCAGCTTTCTTGGGCAGAATCAGCACCACTAGTTTTGCAATATTTTGAGAACCCTTAAAACTCTATTTTGAGTACATTTTCTGAAAATAATGAAATACAGTATGAATCCCTAAAGGGACAGTGACATAAAAATATCTAAATATATATATATACATATATATATATATATATATATATATATATATATATATATACATATATATATATATATATATTAGGGGTGGAACGGTACACAGAAGTCACGGTTCGGTTCATACCTCGGTTCAGACATCACGGTTCGGTACGATTTCGGTACAATGGAGGGAAAAGCAAAACAAAAACTGCAGCAGGCATTGTATTTTTTAAATAAGTTTTATTAATAAAGGCATAGAACCAGTTTATTTGTAGTGCACTGACAATAGTTTTATATAATTAGTTTATTAATCAAATTAATAAAAAGACAAAAAGACCTTGCGATATGTTTGGTAATTGTACCTGAATTCATTTAAAATTAATTTGCTTTATTTCAGATCAATATATTTGTTTTCCTTAATTTTAATTAACATTATTAATTAACAATGTAACATTATTCTCATCTGAATTATAAATAATTGATTTCTGTATAAAATAATACTACCATTAATAACGCATTCGATTTTCTTTTTTAATCAATGTAGAATGTGTAAGATTAGTGCTCCGAGGACAAGAAATGAAAACCAATGCGATGAATGTCCAAAAGATGGGACCCACAGACTGTTTTGAAATGGAGTTGGATAAATATGTTTTGCTTTTAAAACAGTGTGTGTGTGTGTGTGTGTGTGTGAGTGAGAGAGAGAGAGAGAGAGAGAGAGAGAGAGAGAGAGAGAGAGAGAGAGAGAGAGAGAGAGAGAGAGAGAGAGAGAGAGAGAGAGAGAGAGAGAGAAAGAGAGATATTTTGGTTGGGTGACAGTTGTAGGTTACAGTTTGACAAGAGTTTACAGTGTGACAAAAGCACAATGTTGTGTTTTATTGCGAGTGTACACAAATATAAGTAAACACTTTGCAGGTTTAATGATCTGTATAAACAAAATGACGGAGTACGATTTTTATGATTCCACTGTTCGATCGCGGCCGCGCCTCTCTCTCTCACACACACACACACACACTCCAGCATTGCAATCTTGACATCGCAGCCTGTTCATTATGTGGTCACACCAAACGCGAATAGAGCGTTAAATTCGCGTCTATCGCGTCTAGTTCGACGCTAGTCCAAAGCGAATAGGACGCGCGTATAAAGCCAGCGTTTGAAGTGAACGCGCGTTCAGAGCAAAGCCGATGGTACAGATTATGTGTCCCTAAAGAACCCGCGTATCTAACAGTAGTTCCGCATTACATTAATTAATTTCCACGCGAGTTTTATTTATTTTTATACCGTGTATTCTCCGTGTAAATTCGTGCACCGAACCGTGACGCCCGTACCGTTTCGGTTCGGTACGAATACATATATATATATATATATATATAGGCTATATCATGTATTGCTATTTTCTCAAAATATTAGGGCTCAAATAATACAATTTAATGTTTTTCTTATTTTCAAGTTACATTTAAAAAAAAATACTATCTTCCAGGAGCAATACAAACAAAATAATTGGCTCAAAATAAAAAACCTTCCAAAATAATTGGCTCAAAATAAAAAACCTTCCATTTACTCAAACCAATAAACACGTCATCAGAGAAGAGATGTCACTGCAAGAGGGAGGGGAAGTTGTTTAAATTAAAGATTACGAGGGCACAAAAATGATGCATGGATAAATAATTTATATTAAATATTGCAATAATAAAAAAAAGAAAGAAAAAGATTTGTCCATCTTGATATCATGGTGACTTTAAGTTGTATCCACTAAAAAGTGTGTCCTTTCCAGTCGAGTAGCATACACAAAAACGTTTGTTAGTTACATAACCACGTCATAGGAAAAGAAAAAAACTGTACACAAACCTCATTGGCTCACGCATCTATCGTCATATTCAAATTCGAATTGAATGTTGAGTGAACAATAATTAATAACTAGAAAAGTCTCCCACATGCTGAAAACTAATGCTTAAAATAACTCTACCCAACCTCTCTATCCGTATTCCACAGGATACAGAAACCACTGAAGCATAAGAGGCAATGCAGTGAAGATTAATAACACAAACTTTATATTAAAAATGTTTCAGGCTAACTGGAGGGAAATGGATTTACACAGGACATTCATTTTCTGTTCAGTACCCACAGGATTTGTATCAGGGGTTGTGATGGTGTACGACTGACCTTGTGTTTAAAATCAAACACCCAGTCATAAGGAACCTAGTAATTAAACCTGGGCAAATGAAGCAGCTCAGGGGAGAGACCCAGGATTTATAGGACATCCGCCTCTTATAGTTATGACCCTGATGAGATTAATCCCAGCTATAATTATGTCAAAGATTTGTCTTCAGCCAATGCCTCTGTTCTTTTATTAGCAGCAAATTATCTCCAACTATCATCAGTATTGGGGAGAGATAGCCTCATAGTAGGTTATTTAAAGAGAGAGATTGAGATACACATAAAAAAGTGTATACACATACATTGCATTGCATTTAAAAGTGCTTATTGATATTCCACTTACAGTATAAGAAACTGCCAATCGCTTAACTGCAATCAAATGATGCCTCAAAATGTGTTTGTATTGGAAAAATTGATTTTCTTAATCAGTTGACATTATTTGATATTCTCAATGATGAAAATCCAGAATGTTTGTTGTAAACACAAAATAAAGCATGAAGGAACACATGAGACACGAGACCCATAAAAAACACACACACAAAGAGCATTCATTGAGGATATCTTGAGTTGTATTGAGGATGCAAGTAATTTCTTTATAAAATGGTATTATGTCACTGCTCTATATTGTAATTTTATCACAAGGTTATCTGGGCTGCATCACAGTAATTTAAAATATGCAAAGATTTGAAGAAATTTAGAATTGTACATCTTTTGCACAGTCAAATCTCCATACACATAAACAAAAAGATTAAACATTGCCAAGAAAAAAAAAGGACTCATGTCATTGTGTCTCACTCTACACCAAGAGTGTCTGAAATTGGCACTGTATAGAAGGTTATGTGGGGTAAAACATAAATAAATAAAAAATAAGAAAAATTCAAGCAGTTCTCCAGGAAGTGCATACTGTTTGTGCATATACTTTCACCCTAATGCACTTAAACATTCTTATACTATGTCACAAAATCTGATAATTTGCATTTGTACTTCATTAATGCCTATTGTTTTTTAGTATTATAAGGGAAATCATTGTATTTTTTATGCTGTTTACATTTACTGTTTGATGCAGTAAGTAACTGCATTGAGGGAAGCAATAAGGTATGTTATATCCTGCACTTTCCTATATTATTTGGGATTGTTTTTTTAATGTTAGTATTATTTTTAGAAACTGATAAATGTATTTACAGTTAAACCGCCTGCATTCCATAGCCTAATACAAATGAACACTTAAACCGATGAAATCACTTAACAAGCCATGTTTTCTTTCCTGTGTTTACATAGGCCTATTTCCTTGAAACAAATTTCTAGCTAAGGATCTTTTTTTTTTTAAATGCCAACAGGGGTCAGTTTGTCACAGTCTTGAACCATGATTTGCTATTTTATATGAGATCTATAATATCTAAGGAAGCCATCCGTTAGCACTCCCCTTCATCTCAATGGCATTTTTAACCAGCAAAAACCCAGCTCCCTTTATTGATAGTTACAGGCAGTTTGGGGGGCATTCTCATTACAACAACACACTAATGGACAAAAAAATTGGACACGCCCATGCGTCCAAGATGAGTTGTTGAAATTCCAGGTCCATTATCCTAAATGCTATGTCTCATTTCGAAGGCAACGCCCTCCGGAGGGTACAACATTTGAAACGAGACAGCAATAAAGTTAATTTTGAAAGTGTATATCTGCTGAAAGTTTATTTGGTCAACGTTGGCTATAAGAGTACACTTGTCTCGAATTAAGCTAACAGACAAAAAGCCACAAAACTCCAGTTTCATTGCCATAGCGTCTCAGCAAAGAGTTCAAGGAAATGGTGTCACGAGGTTCCGCTTAAACGGCAACGTTTGCTAGTCTCGGATCGGAGTCCTGTTCATATCTGTAATGATACACCTCCATTTGATCCCGGCAGGCCTCTCTGATGTTATTTAGCCACCTCTTAATGCCTCGCCTGTTCAAGTACAACACCATGAGGAACACAACTCCGATGAGGGCTAGCACAATGCCGAGAAGCACATAAGAACCCAAGTCTTGGGGTTTGCATACGTTCACCAGAGGTATATCCTTCTTCTCTTCGGGTTGCGCACATTTCAGAGTTTCCAAGTCTACGCATTGGCGGCTATTCTTAAGCCAATCATAAAACTCCTTCAGTTTGTCACATTTGCACTCGAACGGGTTCTGTGATAAGTTAACACTTATTTCCTTGAATTCATTAAATTTTTGTAAATCATGTTTATCCAAGGTGGCGATGGAATTATTTGTCAGTATTAATGTGGTTAAATTGAGGTTACCAAACCCAGAAAGAGGAATTGCTTTCAAACGGTTTCCAGACAGGTCCAGTGTCTGAAGATTACACAAACTGTCCGTGGAGAGCGCGCTTGGTAATTGGCGCGCGCCCGAAACCATTAGGGTGTTACTGAGGTAAAGATTACGCAGCTGTCCCAATCCACAAAAAGCATCAGGAGTCACAACCATTAAACGGTTGTAACTCAATTCTAAGGAAAGAAGTCGGGGGAGTCCACAAAACGCACAACTTTTGATCTCCTCTATGTTGTTGTCTTCCAGTGACAGCGCGAGCAACTCCATATCTGTCCCGTTGGCTGAAAACGCTCTCTCGGTTAAAACGGTGATATTTTTTCCGTTCAAAGTTAAGGTTTGGGTCCTTCTCGGCAGGTCGAGAGGTAGTTTGATCTGTTCCGCGCCCACACAGATCACGGTTCTGTTACCAAATATACAAGAATCTGGACATTCATAAGCTTCAGCAGACAAAACAAACAAACACATCAGCCCCAAGGTAAAATGACATCGCTTTGATAGAAGTTGTTTTCGGTTGATTTCCATTTTAATCTTTAACGAATAACAGTGTGTCATTCCAAAACGGACAGGTTTAATAGCCGCATAAATTCTCTTCGTAGTTCGGATTCACTTCGCTTCGGGAAACCGTTTTAGCCATCGAGGAAAGCAGTCCGCGAGGCCAGAGAGTGAGTGTTCAGCCCGGCAGCATTTTCTTTTTTCTGCAGCTCCCCTGACGACGCCTACACTACAAATGCGATCAAGTGCTGTCTAGCAGCATCCCTGAGGTGAGCAAAACCTCGCCCACTTCCCTCAGTGAGAGAGACATACACAGAGCCGTGTATTTTTTCAGTTATGACAGAGTTGACACTGAATGAACCTAATGTGAAGACAGTCTCCAAAAGCATTTTATAAACTCTGGCATGGTCTATGGGGCACCTAAACAGGGATGTAAAAATAAAGAAATAGTAGCCTACTCGTATATATATATGTATATATATATAGGCCTATATATATATAGTTATGAGTAGGCTACTATATAGAAATAGTAAAAAGAGATAAAGTCCAGTCCCCTTTAATTAGGCCTATATAGCACTTTATGCAATACTGATTGTTTCAAAGCATGCAGCTTTACAGTGATGAACAGGATTCAATGATACGAACAGAGTTCACTTCGGCAGCTCTAAAAGAAAATAGTGTCATTGTTCAGCTGAAGTCAGTTCAGTTCAGTTGTAAAGATCATCAATTATTAAATAAGTTAATTTCATCTATAAAGCAATTCTGCAGAAAACAGTGATGTCATCACCCAACTTAGTTCAGTTCTCATGTGATAAGTGTCAGCAGGGGCGTTGCTAGGGTCTTGATACATTGGGGGCTTAGCCCAGACCCCACCACCCACCCACCCCGCTTTTGGTAACGACTACTTCTACTCAGAGGCACATAATAATATAAAAGCAATAATAATATAAATGGGGGGTCTGGGGGACCTCCCCCAGGAAACATTGGGCATTAAACACTCAATTTCCTGCATTCAGGTGCATTTTTTGTAGCTAATTTAATTGATAGGTAAAAAGATAGAATGCTTTATTTGTAGAACTGCAACAGCTATTCACAGAAACACAAATAAATAATACATGAATATTAAATATATAAAAAAATGAATATAAAACAATATATATATATATATCTATTCTGTGTAGATATTTATCTATATCTATTTAACTATCTATACACACACACACACACATAAATCACTCCAACAGTGTGCTTGTATAAGTCTGGAAAAGGAACTATAGCAGGCATGAAAAGGGGTCAGGGGTGAAAAAGTTGAGAAGGATATTACCCCTCTAGGGTGGTCCGGGGGCATGCTCCCCCGTAAGAAATTTTTAAATATTCCATATTTTAAAGCATCAATCTGATGCATTTTGAGATGCATTTTTTGCCAACCTGGAGAGCTGGAGAAACTTAACTTCAGCCATGAGTCAAAAATATTATGGCCTCCGTAGCGTTAGCTAATAATTTTCCACAGGAGCTTTAGCTAGCCTAGCTGGCTAACCTTGCGTTCTCTCCTGCTGTGTTCAACGACTCAATTCATGCAAGCTAAGCCTATGTCAACAGAACTCCTGGGTAACTTAGATATAGCCTACCAGAAAATATTAGGGATGTCCCGATATCATTTTTTCTGAACCGATCCAATCCGATACCAAAAATTCGGAGTATCAACCGATACCGGTCCAATACCAGCGCAGTTTTTTTTTTAAATCAAGTAGAATTTCTATAACTCTGTGTGTTGAACTGATAATCACTTTGTGTGTTAAACACAATCTACTTACAGACAACTTCATTATAAATAAAAACAACAAATCAAAAAAAAAATATGATCATAACCTATGACAAAAATTATATTATAAACTAGATTAGTGGATAACTCAGTAAAATTTAGTCTAGAAAAACAATAATTGTATTAAATCTGAACATTTAGTGGAAAAAAACATTATTTAGTGGGGAACAAAGAGACAATAAGTGTAGCACTAAATCAGGTAAAACGTTACACATTGCTCTTTGTATTGTTGTAAAATACATTCATGAAAAACAAGATAAAAATCAGAAAGATCAATTATTATAGGCTATAGGCCTATATATATAGTCTACTATAAAATTAAGACATTTTTAAATGTATAGCACAGCTGTTTAATGAGGCAGCAACATATGATAGATAGGACAGAACAGAACAAAAAAAGCTATTAATAATCTTTCATTGCGCAAAAGTATTATGATATAATTATGAAAGACTCATGTGCGGTACACAGCGCTTATGCGCATCTCGAGCGCAGAATGATGCGCTTGAAGCAACACAGAGTCACAGCGCGCAGAAAAGTTCAAAGCACAAAGGAAAGGCATATCGATGCATAGTGTATTATACAGTAACAGTATCTATCTATGCAATAGTTTATTGAGCCTTTTCTTTTAACAGTTTTAAATTTCAGTTAATGTGCGCGTGAAGAACAATTATAGTGCTCTCCAGTGTGATCACGGTAGAAACGAATATTAAGCAATACAGTTCAGCAAGATATAGGCCTAGTCATTTTATGCGAAACCATATAGCTTTATCTACCGCCCGATAAAGTATAATAATAGTAACATTGAATCATCTTGGAGAGAGTTTCATCGTTGACTGTCGTAACCAAACGCAACGCGCTGTTTGATGCTGAATGGAGAATGACTGACAGCCGCAGCGGAGGGAAACGTTTACGTGATCTTGAATTTAACGACTTAAATTTGTATTTCTATCTCACATTATACTATAGTTTTCATATAGTATATAGTATACCTTCCCCCTCTAATGTCCATAATAGCTACCACCACCAGAAGCCACAAACATCTTTCAGGCTCTCTCTCTCCTCTGGTGCGCACTTTAAATGCAAGCGTGCTGTATAACCATAGTAACTTTGATCTGCTTGAACACATTTTAATCGTCTTTAATACATGATTCCGAAGGATAGATTAAAAGACCCGGTCATTTTTTTTTATATAAATACAAAATTATTAAAAAATAATAATAATTATCAATAAATTAATTTTTTTGAGATCCAGGGCTAAAAAAAAACATCCGGGGCTGAAGCCCCGAATGCCCATGTCTAACGACGCGCCTGAGTGTCAGTACATTAAATTCAATAATGTTGGAATAATGCACTGGAATAAACTAAATCAATTAAACCTTATAAACACATTTAAAAGGATGGGTTTTTAATAATTTCTTGAAACAACTCAAGGTTATTGGTCTTACATAACAAGAATGCTTCCACCTAGAAAGACGATTCAGAGGACATAACATCTGAAATAACAAACTGAAAAATTAATGAATGTACAAAACAAAAATACAAGCATCACATTTCTGCTTTTAAACCCTCTGGCTGTCTCGGCTGCCTGTTCTAGTTCACAGCCAACAACAATAAAGTTGCTGCTGGATTGAAAGTGATTTTTTTTTCATGCTTAACAACATACTGTGACCACTCCTTTAGGCTATTAATTCATGAATACAGTTTTACTAATCCCTATGCATTGATGCCTTAACCCTGATCACAGTTTACTTGCATGCTCATGGACTGCTAATGACAAGTAACACCCACTGGTAAGTGCTGATGAGATTGTGTGCACAGTACTAATCCGAAAATGACTTATGTGCCAAGTAACATTGGCATTTATAACTGGGATGTAGATTTTTATTTTATTTTTATTTATTATTTATTTTATTGAAATAAACCAAAAAGTTGAGTTTGATAACGTAGGATTAGTGGGAAAAACAATTGTCTCACTATGAAATATTCAACACACGAGCACAATACCAATTCTTTCTTGTACAGCCGATAATTCCGCATGTGCGCTCTGTAATGCCATCTTTGATTTGCTGTACCTGTTCACAGTGTGTCCCCTGCAATCCAATCTATATTGTAAACTCCAGCTGCTACACAGGGTCTAATGTTACTCCATCTTTATCTGTCTGTGGGGTACAATCTGTTGGCAGGTAAATCCTTTTTCAACCCATTGCATATTTTGCTGACTGTCTTAAAATTGGTCCCTGAACAGTATTTTTGGAGAACAATTTCAACCACAGTGGGTCATTGTTTGCTATGACATGGTAAAATAGCTTTACTGGCACACTCATACAGACAAATATAGACAAGCAATAGGCTCTAAAAACACTCAGGTGTTAAGGGACATAAAAGAAGGATTCATTTTGGGGACAAAGCTGGAGCTGCTGGCTCCTGCAGAAGGGATGTGGTCACAGGATAAGTCCCCCAAAGGTTACTCGAGTTCAGACGGGAGCACTCAGCATTTAGTCATTTTCTCCAGTCAAGTGGAGCATGTAGCTTTTAACGCTTGGAGATAATTCAATTTTGCGGTATTTCATTACAGTAACCCATCCTCCACCCTTTAGCCACATGAAATGTATTACTGATCATCACTATACTTTAAAATCTAAACTTCTGCTTTCCAAATTAACTCAGCATTACATCAGACTTAGAAGCAGCATCGTAATCATCAAAAATGCATGCATCAGAAGGGCTATCGTCTCTAAGTGATAGCTGTTATCAAGTGATGCACCATGATTATTTTATTCAGTGGGTACCTGACAAAGTGGCCTAATTGTGCTTGTCAACCTATGGTAAGCCGGTTTGAGGTGTACAACAGATATGAGCTATCATGTTCCAAATGGGCATTTTGGCCGGGTACATTACTTTATCCTGAGGCTGTCTGTGTGGAGTATCACAGTTGGCAAAGTGTCACCATGTCTGTCACTCATGCTGTAGCCAGAAAGTAAGGGAGATGCTTTTTAGCAGTGCATAAATGTGATAGGACACCAAATATGATCTGGAATTACTCACTAGTTATGGAAGTAAAGCATTGTGTAAATCCTTTATTTAGGACCATTAAGCTTTTGCATAGACAATTTGACCCACCAAAACAAAACAAACATATTCTATACACTATACTTGTCAAAAGTTTGGAATAATTAAGATTTTGTAATGTTTTTGAAAGAAGACTTATGCTTATCGAGGCAGCATTTATTTGACCAAAATACAGAAATATTGTAATAATCTGAAAGAACATGTTTTCTATTTGAATATATTTTAAAATGTAATTTATTCCTCTGATGACAAAGCTGAATTTTCAGCTGCCATTACTCCAGTCTTCTGTGTCACGTCATCCATTAGATATTTCTATCAATGCTGGAAACAGTTTTTGATGCTTAATATGTTTGTGGAAAGAATGATTC